CTCAAATCGGACCACAAATGGCCCCTCAAATTCCAAATTTAGAATTTCAATCTCAAGCCCTAATTTCTTACAATTTGGCTATATTTTCATGAATTTCAAGGATGATTTCCCAATATAATCATGTATTTAACTCATAAAACTTACCTCCAATCGATCCCAGTTGAAACTCTCTTAAATCCCCGTCCAAAAGCTCTCAAAATGTCCAAAAATGGTGAAAGAAATGAAGTAGTTCGCGGATGAAATGTAAACATTCTTCCCAGAATTTTTTTCGTGTGCACTGTTCACCCCGTGTTACTGTTCATGGGGGTACTGTTCACGTACTATTCACGGATACTGTTGCGGGGCACTGTTCAAAACTACTGTTCACAGGTACTGTTTCTGCAAATTTCTGCAATTTTCCTAAGTCCGAAATCACTTTGAGACACCTCCGAAACACTCTCGAGCCCTCGGGGCTCCTAACCAAACACATACACAAACTCAACAATATCCTACGAACTTAACCGTGCAATCAAATCGCCAAAATAACGTCATATACCACGAATTAAGCTTTAAAACCCAAGAATTCTTTCAAATTTCATAAAACATCAAATTTTCCATTTTTGAGTCCGAAACACGTCAATCGACGCCCGTTTTCAACCAAACTTTACATAAAGTGCTTAAACCATATATAAGACCTGTACCGGGCGCCGAACCAAAATACGGGCCCGATACCATCACTTTCTAACAAATTTCATTTCCATTTTCCTTAAATATTTTCAGAAAACAATTTTACTCAAAAATTCATTTCTCGGGCCTGGGACCTCGGAATTCGATGATTCTTGTTCCTATGAGTCACAAATAATAATACGAACCTATTCCTTCAATCGAAACACAATTTGGAGCTCATTTGCTCAGTGCAATACCCGTTTAGCTCGTTAAACAATTAATTCATGTTTCGCGTCAAAAACCCAATCGCGACTTGATGAAATTAGACCAAACTTTTCAGATCACTCCTATAATTCATTATTAAAATTCTGGAAGTTTCGAAATCAAATTTGGATCTCTAGAACTAAAAATGGACTTTTGGATCATTACATGCTTATGCTCAAAACGGCAAAAATCTTCCAAAAACTCTTCCAAAACTTATCCGAGCCTCATGGGACCCGACCAAACATGCCAACATAGTTCATAACATTATTCAGACCTGTTCCAATCATCAAAGCACCTCAAACAACATCAAATTACCCAAAACTCATCGAATTCAAGCCTAATTTTCTAAAAACTTCCGAAATACACTTTCGATCAAAAACACGACCAAACCACGTCCGAATAACCTCAAATTTTGCACAAATATCCCAAATCGCCTAGCGAAGCTACAGCAACTCTCGGAATTCCATTACAACCGTTGGATCAAAATCTCACCTATCAACCGGAAATCGCTAAAATACTAGTTTCGCCAATTCAAGCCAAATTCCACACCGGACCTCCAAAACCAATTCCGATCGCGCTCCCAAGTTATAAATCACCTAATGGAGCTAGCCAAATCATAAAAATTCTCATTTACACATAAGTCAACTCTTGGTCAAACCTTTCAAATTCAAAGCTTTCAACTGAGACTATTCTTTCAAATTCATTCCGATTTTTTCTGAAAACTAAAACCAACGCTCTACATCAGTCATAATACATAACACGGGGCAAGTCATGCCCGAGAACTGGCGATCAAAGCGTACAAGCTCAAAATGACCGGTCGGGTCGTTACATTCTGTCACTATCCTTAGTTATTATTCCTCTTAGTGTAGTTCCTTTGTTAAGTATCAATATATTAATCTGTTGTTTTTGTGTTTAGTTGTGGACATTGGAACCATTACGCATGAGCATAGGACATTCTGATTTGGATCTAATTATATAAGAAGCTAACACATATATATTTAATTTTCATTTAGATACCATGCTCATAAGATGTCATAGCTTTAAAATAAAAGATCTATATTTTGTTCTTGAATTTTTGAAGGCAAAAATTAATGTCTCATCCACATGACTCATGAATAAAAGTTTAAATATATCACTTCTGCTCATCTCAAGTGCTGTGTAAAAGAGAAGGATAGTGTTTGTTTTAGAAGTTAAAACTTTCAAGTGTTCTCTAAAAGAGGTTGTTAGAATTCACGCATATTGGGTTAAAGCTTTGCTTATTGCTTGATAACAATTAAAATTAAACGTGTTGTGGTATTTAGAACCTTCATTATTGGATATAGGTATTTTTGTCATGACACTAAGATGAAATTTAGATTTTATAGACTTAAGCCTAGCCCCCTTGGACTTAAAACATTTTGTAAAAAATATATGTGCCTTTATTTAATAATAAAATACTAGTAACCGCTTATATATTTTGCTATTGGAGTTGGTATCTTATATGTACCAATTTAAACAGATTCGTAGAAATAGGAAAAGCTTTCTGTTTGTTGGATTATTTTTTTTGCTCTTAAAAAGACACATTAAAATGGTTCCCCCCATTTCGAGTACTGTTTATAGTCTACTACTGTTCTTGGGTTTCTTTTTTTTTTTTTTTTTTGGGTTTCAGGATTGTTGCAAAGTAAAACAAATAGTTATACTCTTCTCTTGCGTGTTTCATTCCTTTTTTGAATCTTTGCCTCTAATTTTATTCTTCTTCCCTTTTGCATATGCACTTTGAGCAAATGGAGTCTCACTCAGAGACTCAATACTACCCAAGCATAGAGTCATCACATACCGTCGTCCTTAGGTGCATCGAGCATCAAGAAAAAACAAGCGAAATGCTTGGTTGCCTCTGGCATCTTTTCTTTTATTATCTATTGTAGCTAATCTTTTATGATTGTTGATTTATTTGTCTGTTGGGCATTTATCTCAATTTTGGGATTTAATCATCTAGGTTCTTTGTCTATTACTTGCATTATCTCACATGGTATGACAGTTAGAATAAGAGGTTTAAAATCAATAATAAATTTTCATCCATTTGCGACTATCTTATCTATTTTTCTAAGTAAGCCACTATATTTATATTCTGCCAAACAAAGTCAATTTGTTAAGGTGACACTTGCGAAAGCTTGTAGTCAAATTATTTTCAATATTATTAAGTTGGAACTTTCTTGATAAATGGTGTAATATTAGTTAAGTATTTTCAGGAATAAACCCACCATATCTTTTTAGCAATTTGAGCAAATTCCTATAATTTGAAATTCTTTTAACTCCCCTCTTTAAGGTCATTTTATTTTTAAGGAAGAACTCTTCTTTGATTTTAAATAAAAGATTTTCCTAAAGCGTAAAGCTATGTGCCTGGGTCCAAAAGAACTTAGTCAATATTAATGTTAAACACCGTCTTATATACTTGGCATTTAGGTGTATAATTATCTAAATTATTTTAAATTTATTAATTAACATAAGTTTGGCCGGTTAACCGTAGTTAATGGATCACGTAAGGTGCTTTTACAACATTTCCTATAGGATTAATTAGAATCCTTAACCATAATAAGTTAAGCATACCATAAAACAAAGTTTATTTTTAAGCATTATTCAACTAAAGTTGGTGTCCTTATTCATCGTTAAAATAATTAGACGGCGACTCTTTAATTAAATAAACCTTGGTCTTTCCGATAGGGTATACTTTAATTTGACCCGTGTTAAAAAGAGGTATAACAGATACTTTGTCCAATAGTTTTTCCCATCATAATCTCATTAGTGTCAGATATCATCCCTTTGTATCTCCATTCTCGAGTAACTTTTTGATCAGCTCTTCTAATCCAGTAATAATATCTACGGTAAATAATAATAATAATAATAATAATAATAATAATAATACAATAGAGTAACAACGACACCAACCCTTCTAATGGGGTGAAATACAATACCCGAGCTGAGCAATATAACCACTATAATATTACAACTTAGTAGTGTCAAGAGACTATTACAACTTTGAAAGAAATAACACTCTTTATTTAAAAACATCTCACTATAATGTTATTCACACTCACTATTTATCTCACAGACTATAATATGCGGATAACTCTCTCTAACTTCTATTGTTTCTCTCTTAATTTGTTGTATATAAATGAGGAACGATGACTCTATTTATAGTAGGAAGACCTCATAGTTTAACCAATCAAAATTGATTTGACAATTTGCATAACTTGCAAATTCTTCCACGGCCAGCCACAAATCCAACCAATCAAACAGTTTTGCATATGCAATTTGCATTTAATAGCAACAAAGTTAGGTACCTCCAATCCCATTTTTGAGTCTCTTTTTCTACTTTCAATTTGTGCAATTCTACCACTGGTTGTCTATTTACTAAATGGGAAGGTATATAAGATAAGGCCATACCATTCTCCGCAGCTCTATTTTTCTGGAATAAATTCGTCCTTGGAGCAGCAGGTACATTCCCCGTCTCTCTACTAGTGACCTTATTGATTTCCATTTGAGGTTGAGCATCCACTGATTTGGTCACATTAGTGAAGGGTGGAGTATTCAAATCCAGCTTCTTCGATATTTTCGAGCTTTTTGACAAATCCCATATACTACAGGAAAATAGGTCTTTAACGATGGGAATTTCGGTCGTTAAAACTCCAAATCCGGTCGTTATGGGTAAACGACCGGATTTTGATCCCATCGTAAAAACTCTTTTAACGATGGCAAGGAATCCAGTCGTTATACCAACATTAGCGAGGGGATTTTCCCATCGTTAAATATCGTCCCAGTCGTTAAACACTTCACGAGCAGTAACCAATTTTCAGTCGTTGTTAGTGTTTGGCGACCGTAATTCCATTCGCTAGTTGTATGTACTTTCAACGACGTGCTTTTCAAAAACCAAAATTTTCCTTTGCTAATGTGAGATTTAAATTAATAAATATATTACACGCATTCAACATGACAAAGAATGAAGTCAATATTGATATAAAACATCTTTTTTAATTATAAAGAACTAAAGCATCAAAGTAGCAATAATGTATTACATCCAAATTGCATGATCCTTTTTTTGTCAATTCCTTAAAGAAAACAGAAAATTAAAGAGATATATATAGTAGTTTGTACAGATGACGACAACTCCTAATAAAACAAAATAGATTTCCATTGTTCTTCAACAATTCCAGCTGCTAATTCAACTTGCTCGGAATTATCTTTAAGGATGATTTTTCAAACTTTTTCAGGCCCTTTATCTGTTAAAAAAATGGTTCATATTAATTAGTTGAGAAGAAAACAAGATTTAATATTGGTAAGTTGCTACCACACAGTAAAATGTAAAACCACGAAGCGAAGAACATTTCAAAATACTATAAACAACCAGTGCTTCTTATAACAACGTTACTAAATCCAACATTAAGAGTATCATGAAACATATTACAAGTGCTTGCTAATAGTATAATAGCCATAATACTGGGAGCAAATGATATCATCAAAAAAGTACTACTATTCCCTCCTTTTGCACAATGGTGCTTCTCTCTTCATAACACTCCCATTAACACTGCAATCTCTTTTTTTTCCGCAATCAAATATACGCTTATACGCTATCTACTTGAGTTAAACAGATAGTCATCATAAACAAAAATATGACATGCTCAAAATTTCCTCATGCATAATCGCAAAGGGTCCAACCTAGAAAACATCATCATTCCTAAATTTTCTGACTTGAAATGTAGCTTTCTGGCACTGTGTGAACCTTGTCATGATAATCTCAAACCAATTGGAGCCTAAATAATTTAAAGAAAACGTACAAATTGGTCTTGATGGACGGAAAACTAACCCATGGTCACAAAATATACGATAGCTTTTTCAGCTCATAACCTATCAAATCTATATAACATTGTGCATCAATCTTAAGATGTCAGTTCAACCAAATTGCTCGAGAAGGTCCTTGGAACCTCAAGGTCTCCTTTATCCGAAATAGAAAAGATAGCCTCTGGGCTGGTTAGTGCTTGCTTAGTAACCATGAACCTCCCAACTTGATGCATAACCAAACGTAGATTCTGACTGTTCTTTTAAATGTTTTTTTTTCAAAGATCTTAAACGGAAAAGTGTAAGAAGAAAACGAGGGTGATCACATACAAGCAAGATCAATAAACAAAGATGAAAACAACAATTACAAGACTATGTTTTTCACTTGTAAGAACCTTAGAAAATGCTCACCCAGAAAATATATAACAACTCGTTATCTCGGGTTTCATTTGCACGACTCAAAATCACCACATATATCTTGTTTAATACACGAGAGAGTAAAAAGATACTAAACTGTAAATTTGGTCCACATGAATTTGCATCATTTAGCTTGCCAAGCACATAACAATGAATCTGAGATGCACATATCTAATTAAATTATTAGAGTAGTTCATATACCAAGGTCAGTACTTTATTTAACTAACGATAAAAGATTTCACTAAATTCATTTAAGGATATTCATCATGTAAAAATTGGTAAAAAGCTTACGCACCTGTTAAATAATTCAACGTGTACTTTGTTGAATTGTAGATGGTGCTGATGAAGGTTGATCAACCAATAAGCTTATAAGATGATCATACCTAGACTCAAAGTCGTCCATATGTTTTTCCAGAGAGTCTTTTGCTTTTTTAGTTGCATTCAGCTCGTTTTGTAGTGATTCTTTTTTCTTTTCGAGTTGCATTTAGCTCAATCAGGATTGCAGCCTTTGAGGAGCTACCGCCTTTCAACTCCTTAGTGGTTATACCACCCCCTAATCCAACCACATGACTCTTTTTTTGAGGTCCAAAATACCTTTTTATTACCTCGATATTCGTAAGAGATGGCTTAGATTGTACTAGCTCTTGTATTTCAGCCTATAAAATACAAGAAAATTTAAAATAACAAAATACATAAAAATAAAATGAAGGATGTAAAATGAAGTTCATCAATAAACATACATATTTTTTACTAGCTTCAGGTTCTACAAGCGTGTGGTCTTTCTTGTGAGTCTGAAAGAAGATAGTCGCCATGTTCGGTAGATTACCGTCTTTGCCTCCCTTCACATTTAAATAAACAAGTCAAACAAAGACATTAAACACTGCCTGAAGATCCCCCCTGAGTTTGGAGCAAGTTGCATCAGAACCTGCCTCAGTAGTGCTGGACTGCAAGGCTTATTAGTAACAATTTTAATCACCAAGTTAATTGTAATTACTACTATCCTCAGGTGTTACGGATAAGCTGCAGCATTTCCTAGACATCAAATCTGGGATATTTATGCCTAATTTGTATGTTTTAAAAAAGGTGTTTTGCATATTAAATAAGAGAGAGAGGAGATTGATGAACTTATAAAGCTCTAATTTATGCCTCCCTTGTTGCATCTAGTTGTAAAAAATAGATGAAATAGACATAAGGTAAATATAGCCATTAAGGAAAATTCAGGATCATATGGAGCTACATGGATGCAGGCTACTTCAATCTGTGTGACGACCCAAAGGGTCATCACCTGTTTTCTCTTTCATCTCGTGCTTCCGAGGCCTTGAAAACCTCATTTTTACTTGCCTCGATTTGCATGCGCAGTCCGGGCGCGTAGCCGGAAAGATTATATGTTAAATTCTGTGAAAAATTTTAAAATGTGGCTTTAAAGTGATTAAAGTTGACTTTGGTCAATATTTTTGGTAAATGGACCCAGACTCGTGATTTGACGATCCCGGAGGGTCCGTAGAAAAATATGGGACTCAGACATATGTCCGGAGTCGAATTCCGAGGTCTAGAGCCCGAGAAAAGAATTTTTTCTGTGAAATTGTTTTTCTGAAGTTATTAAGGAAAATAGAAATGAAAATTGATTAAAAGACTGTGGTATCGGGCTCGTATTTTAGTTCCGATGCCCGGTACAAGTCTTTATATGGCTTAAGCGCCTTCTGTGAAATTTGGTCGAAATCGGACATCATTTGACGTGTTTCGGACCTAAATATCTAAAAATTAAAGTTTATGAAGTTTGATGAAAAAAGTGATGATTTTGAGGTTTGATTCCTCGTCTATGATGTTATTTTGGCGATTTAATCGCATGGTTAAGTTCGTAGGATGTTGTTGAGTTAGTGTGTGTGTTTGGTTAGGAGCCCCGAGGGCTCGGGAGTGTTTTGGAGGTGTGTCAGAGTGGTTTTTGAACTTAGAAAAGTTGCAGAAAATCTGCAACAGGTGCCCAGGTGAATCCTTGTTCGCGTTCGCACTCCGCCTCACGCATTCGCGATGCTTCATTTTTGTTCCTTCATCGCGTTCGCATCACTAGTTCGCGTTCGCGTAGAGTTATGGAACTCTGAGGGCCCAGCCCTCTTTTCTTCTTCGCGTTCGCGATGGCTGAACCGCGTTCGCGTAGGTCCCCAGCCCCTACCCATCGCGTTCGCGTACAGGCCAACGCGTTCGCATAGGCCAATCTCTTGGACCCCAACCAATTCCTTCTACACGTTCGTGTTTCACCTTCCGTGTTCGCGTTGACCAACCCTGTTTACCCTTCGCGAACGCGACTCTCTTCACGCGAACGCGAAGGGCAAAGTTTTGCCCAGTTATTTTAAATTTCAGAACAGTAGCTACGAGTTTCTTTCAAAAAATACACGAGCTCTCTTCTCCCCCAAGCACTTAGGAGTCCATTGAAGCCCCTTTTCTTCAAGATCACTTGGGTTAGTAAATTCCAACTTGTTTTCTTCATTTTCCATCATTAATTATTGAATTTCTAAGCTTAAATCATGTAGATTAGGGTGGAAATTGGGGAAATTGGGTAGAGTTAGGGCTTTTCAACTTTCTTTGATTTAGACCTCGTTTTGGGGTCGAAATTGAAAACAAGTTGTATATCCGGGCTCGTGGGGGAATGGGTGACATGGAATTGGTTCGAACCTCGGATTTTGACCAAGCGGGCCCGGGTTCGATTTTGGAATTTTTGGGAAGGAAGCTTAGAAATTCATATTTAGGCATTGGGTTTAGTTTGTTTAGCTATTATTGATATTGTAAAGTCATTATTTCATAGATTTGGATGAGTTGGAGCCGAACTCGAGGGGTAAAGCTATACTAGAGGCTTGAGTTGACTTTGGAGCAATTGATGTAAGTGTTTGGTTTAACCCTAGCTTGAGGGAATAGGAGTAGAGTCTTATTTGCTAATTGCTATTTGTCGAGTACGGTGTATAGGATGGTGACGAATATCTATACACTGGTGTCGAGCATGACGTGAGTCCTGAATTGCTAAATTATCGAATTCTTAATTAGTTGTTTATGAGGCTTGGTTGGAAATCTTTAACACCGAGCCAGTAATTGTTGAGACTGAGTATTGATTCAATTGTGTTAAGTAGAAATTGAATAAGTTTGGTTTAGCTGACTCTCCTTGCCGGGATAGTTTATTTATAATATCTTGTTCCCTTACGGATAGTTTATTATAACATCTTTTCTCCCTTGCCAGGATTATATTGTGTATGGTGTTGAAAGAAATGGGATCGTGTGGCACGCCGACCACGAGAATATTATGAAATGGGATCGTGTGGCACGCCGACCACAAATATTATGAAATGGGATCGTGTGGCACGCCGACCACAAGATATTGAATGGATCGTGGTAGCCGACCAGAGATATTATGAAATGGGATCGAGTGGTACGCCTACCACGTGATATTATGAAGTGGGATCGAGTGGTACGCCTACCACGTACATTATGAATGGGATTGGAGTGGTACGCCTACCACGGTATGAGGAAATGGATCGTGTTGCACGCCCTGCAACGAGAGAAATTGAAATAAGTGAAAGTGTTTGTCTCCCTTATTATGTATTAGAAGGAATCAGATGTAGTTTCTTTGTTATTCCTGATGTTCTATTTTAACTGCTACCCCAGAAGCATGTTCCCCTCCCAGCTTTAATTGTTTGCTTTCCGTTATTATTTTGTTGTACTTGTATATATATATCTGTACAGGTTTATCTGGTAGTCTGGTCTAGCCTCGTCACTAGCTACTTCGCCGGGGTTGGGCTAGGCACTTACCAGCACATGGGGTCGGTTGTGCTGATGCTACACTTCTGTGCTCTTTGCACAGATCACGGTACCGGAGTAGCTTTTGGACCACAACAGTAGTTGATTGGGAGCTGACTTCAGTCCAGGGACTTTCGAGGTAGCCTAGCTGGCATCCGCAGGCCGGAGTCCCTTCTATGTTATTAGTTTTGTTTTCCTGTACCGAGACAATCATTGATGTATTCTATTCAGACTTGTTTTTAGCACTCTTTAGTAGTTCGTGAGTTAGCGGCACCAGTCTTGGGTAGAGAAATGTTAAACTTCCGCATTTTGGGTTATCAGTTATCTATGTTTTAAAGACTTCCGCTTTTATTTAAATGACTCGTATTATTATAATTGTTGGGGTGTTAACAGAAAATGTTTAAATGCTTGGCTTGCCTAGCTTCGACAGTAGGCGCCATCACGACTCCCGATGGAGGGAAATCCGGGTCGTGACAAGTTGGTATCAGAGCTCTAGGTTACATAGGTCTCGCTACTCACTGACAAACTTGGTAGAGTCTGAGGGATCGGTACGGAGACGTCTGTATTTATCCCCCAGAGGCTACGGAGTTAGGAAAAGTTTCTCTTTTGTTCTTTCTTGTCGTGCGATTCTGTTTCTCAAATACTGATTGTCTTTCTACTCTGTTCTTTCGCAGATGGCGAGAACATGTGCTTCCTTTTCTACCGCGCAGCAGCCCGAGTCCCCAGCAGCAGCTCCTGCGAGGGGCAGAGGCCGAGGCCGTGCCAGAGGACGAGGTAGGGGCAGAGCTCAGCCCCGGGCAGCAGTCCCAGAGGTGGAGCCTCATATTGATTATGATGAGGAGGTTCCAGCCCCAGCAGCTCCGGTGGGCCCAGCTCAGGTCCCAGGAGGGTTCATGGTCACCCCAGATCTTCAGGACGCTTTGGTCAGACTGGCAGGCTTTGTGGATAGCGTCACTAGAGCGGGTTTGCTTCCAGTAGCACCAGCCACTTCTCAGGCTGGAGGAGGAGTTCAGACTCCTGCTACACGTACTCCGGAGCAGGTAACTCCCCAGGCTCATATTCCAGTGGTTCAGCCAGTTGTGGCAGTTCAACCAGGTATTGTGACTCAGGCTGGCGATGGATCGGCTATGTCCTCAGATGCTTTATGGAGGCTTGATAGGTTATCCAAGCTCTTCACCACCACATTCAGCGGTACTTCTTCAGAGGATCCACAGGATTTCTTATTTAGCTGCCATGAGATCCTTCGGACTATGGGTATTGTGGAGACCAATGGGGTCGACTTCGCCACCTTTCAACTAGCAGGATCCGCCAAGACTTGGTGGAGGGACTATTGTTTATCCAGGCCAGCAGGGTCGCCATCATTGACTTGGGACCAGTTTGCAGAGTTGTTTTTGGAGAAGTTTCTCCCAGTTACTCAGCGAGAGGCACTTCGCAAGCAGCTCGAGCGCCTCCAGCAGGGCTCTATGACAGTCACACAGTATGAGACTCGGTTCATTGATCTGGCACGCCATGCCATTGTTATACTCCCCACAGAGCGAGAGAGGGTGCGGAGGTTTATTGATGGGTTGATTCAGCCAATCCGTCTCCAGATGGCTATGGGAGCCAGTAGTGAGATTTCTTTTCAGGAGGCGGCCAATGCGGCCCGTAGAGTTGAGATGGCTCTTGCACGGGGAGGTGGTCACGGGTCAGATAAGAGGCCCCATCATGCAGGTAGATTCAGTGCTGGAGGTGGAAATTCTTATGGTAGAGGCCATCCACCGAGGCCCTTTCAGTCAGCCCTACAGGACTCACATGGTACTTCAGGTGGTCGTGGTTCTCAGTCGCATCATTCCGACCAGCAGCTCTTCAGTTCCCCATCAACACCTATCAGCGCACCACCACTCCGTTGTTCTCAGCAGCCGAGGGCTTGTTTCGCATGTGGCGACACGAGGCACATTGCCAGGTATTGCCCTCGAGCTTCAGACACCTCTCAGCAGCAGGGTCCTCGCCCTATGATTCAGGCATCAGGTGATCCACAGGCCGCCCAGCCAGCTAGAGGCGGGGGTAGAGGCCATAG